TAAAAGACGCTCAAGACACATGACTGCTGTGTGTTTTGGCATACTGAATCACACTCTCTATGAATTATCTACAGAGAGTTCAGAGATCCGAATATTGTTAACAGTCCTGAGTAACAAACCCTCTCTAGATAAAAGAAAATTACCATGTGTGAATGTATGGCTGAGGAGGATCCAACAGACAAAGACTAAATTATTACATTTTCTGAGTGTTGCTTGACGGTACAGTATACAGGGATGCCGTGGATGTCAGGGCATTGCTATGTGGTTGCTAAAATGTTCTGGGTGGTTGCTAAGGCATTGTGATTTGGTTGCTAGAGTGTTCTGGGTGGTTGCTGGGGTGTTGGTTGCAGGTACGTTACTATGTGATTGCTAAGGTATTCTGGGTGGTTGCTAGGGTGTTGCTATGGGGTTGCCAGGGTTTTCTTAAGTGGTTTCTATGGTGTTCCAGGTGGTTGCTAGGGCATTACTATGTGATAGCCAGGATTTACTGAGTGGTTTTAAGGGTGCTCTGAGTGGTTGCTAAGACATTGTGAAGTGGTTGCTGGGGTGCTAGTTACTGGCACATTGCAATGTGGTTGCTAAGGTGTTCTGGGTGGTTTCTATTGTGTTCTAGGTGGTTGCTAAGGCATTGTGATTTGGTTGCTAGATTGTTCTGGGTGGTTGCTAGGTTGTTTCCAATGCTAAAAAAACGTTCCTTCTTATTTCAGTTCCACACATCAGTTGTTTTTCCTTCACGAGACTATCTATCAGTCTCTCACCTCATCTGTGACTGTCTCTAATTCACCAGAATGAAACTCTTCAGGTCCGTCTGCATCCAGACACACTGGAATAAATAAAAGATCAATTATAATCTTTAATTGGGGAGAGTTGTCACACATTTTAAATGCTAAAAATATCATTTTTACAGCAAAACAATGATATGCATGTGTGTGCTATCTTGTGCTAAAAAGCCCATAATAAAATAGTGTGTAATGTCAGGTTTCATTGTGACAGCTTACCTCATACAAACACCAACGTGTTAAATGAACAGGAAATCTAAATGTAAGTTTGGGAGGAGCTTATTCTTACTCATAGTAGATAGAAACTATCAGCTGCTTATCTTCCGCCTCCACAAACCCCACCTTATTAATCAGTGGTATATATTAACTAACTCTTAAAGGCTTTTAGGTTTGTTTAAAAAAAATGTACCTCTTGAGGAATATTTACTGAAATAAAAACTGTGACAACTAGCCCCGGCATTCATTTTAGGTAGCTAATAATAATGCAAACTTATAAAGAACAGAACTGCAGACAAACTACTCACTGTTTGGTGTTTGCTGCATGCTGTCTCTGCGAACATGCTTCGGTAGGCTTTTCTCTCGTGATTCTTTGGACTCTCTGCTGTTCATATCTCATTTAATGCCTTTTTCTCTTCTCTGATACTCCAGACGTGATCTGTCACATATCACCTTGCCTTCACAATGTCCTCTAGAAGTCAAATGCAATGATTGTCATGGGATTTTACGTTAACATCAACGATTTTCATTTAAAGCAGCACTATGTAATTTTTTCTGTGTACAAAATTTGCAAAATGTATATAATGAGCAAGTACATCACGAATTCATCTACCAAACCGCGTTTTTGTCTTATTCCGAATCACTACGGTACACTTATAATAAGTACCGGTACTTATATTTGGACGATTGTAGCCTGGTCGGGTCGTCACCGCTGCGGAGTAACACATACCTGCGTGAATCGCCATAGACAACTTATGAGAAGTAGCTCCGGTTGGAATGTTCTTCCGCGGGATGTGTGCAGTTCTGTTTATTAACCGCTAGAGCGCCAAAAGTTACATAGTGCTGCTTTAAGTTGTAGTAACTCATTAAAATTGTCTTGTTAACTTTGGAAATTGGGTAGTGGATTTCTAGTTCATAGTGCTGCTTTAAGTTGTAGTAACTCATATAAATTGTCTTGTTAACTTTGGAAATTGGGTAGTGGATTTCTAGTTCCCGCATGCTTTGCATATGACTGGATAAGGAGAATAAATGTTGAAATAAAGTGTTATTTTATTAAGTTATTAAGTTTTCTTTTTCTTTTTTTTTTTTGTGAAGGGAAAGACCTGTTAGTGTTTAATGCTTATGTTTGACATTTAAAAGAGTTTCTGTTATGTTGAAGTTTTGTGGTCACCATTGTGCTGAAGAGCAGACCACATGAAGGTAAACACTACATTGACTCTATTAACAATGACTGCGCTAATGTCAGTGACAAATAATAATTTGCGTGTTCATTAAAGGGATAGTTCACCCAAAAATGAAAATTCTGTCATTAATTACTCACCCTCATGTCGTTTCAAACCTGTAAGCAGTGGTGTATAAAATACCTGAAAGCCATACTCAAGTAAAAATACAGATATCTTACCAGAAAATGACTTTGGTAAAAGTTGAAGTCACCGTTAAAATATTACTTGAGTAAAAGTCTTAAAGTATGTGATATTTATTGTACTTAAGTACGAAAAGTATTTTTTAAATATTAAACGTACTAAGTATTATAAGTAAAAGTACAAGTAAATGCAAAATGGAAAAGAAGCAAATAAATATATATATATAAAAATGTTCATACACAGCTTGAGTAGCAAAATTGTGTTCAGTTTTAACTTTTTCTTCTATTTTGTATTTTTGGGTAAGAATAAGAAGCACTTCATCTGGTACTTAGTGTCTTTCATTCCAACATGAAAACATTTCTGGAATCTGCATCTGAAATAGCATTTAGATGTATTTACACAGTTTATGTATCTCAGAGGGGACATGGATGCATTTAAACTGCAGTTACAGATGCATAAATAGGCCTAATGTTTTGTTTTTAACATAAAAGGTTGAATACTGATATTTGAAATAATTTAAAACATGAAAAAAATAGTCGAAATGTGAAATTAAAACCACCAGTAGGTGGCAGCAAGTGACTGTTAATGAGTGAGTCATTGAGAATCAACGGATTCATTCAAACGGCTGATTCATTCAGAAACAAAGCATGTGACTGCTCAGTATCAGCTGGACGTAAACAACATATGCTGTTCTGTGTCAACTGCGTCACGCTGACACAGCTGACACAGAACAGCATACGTTGTTTACGTCCAGCGGATACTCTCCAAAATGGCGCTACAGGGTGACGCGGAGGAGACGAATTGTTGAATAAAGTCGTTAATTTTTTTCTTTTGCTTACAAAAAGTATTCTCGTAGCTTCGTATAATTGCGGTTGAACCACTGATGTCCCATGGATTATTTTACATATCTCTTTGCTACGTTTCTGGACTTGGGAACATTTCAGTTGTATTGCTGTCTGTGCAGGGTCTGACAGCTCTCAGATTCCATCAAAACTATCTTAATTTGTGTTCCGAAGATGAATGAAGGTCTTACGGGTTTGAAACGACTCGAGGGTGAGTAATTAACGACATAATTTTCATTTTTGGGTGAACTAACCCTTTAAATATACATGCTAAATAAGTAACATTTAGCATGTGCTACGATAGCTTTGGATTTGAAATGAAAAAAGATAATATAAATTGATTCCAGGCCCACAAATCCAGTAGTTGAACTTGGAGCATCATAAAACATGTGTTTATGTTACAAATTTTTAAGTTCTTCTAACTCAATGTAGTTTGTTGGTTGGACATAATTTCATTAGTAGTTGTCATAAAAAAATGATGTAAACTGTTGTGTTATTTAAATTTTTTTTTTTGTTATTGTTGAGCTAACACAATATTTTTTTAGAGTGTGTCCTGATGGTAAATACATTTTCAGCAAAATTTCATTTTTGGGTGAACTATTCCTTTAAAAAATTATTCATTTACTTAAAAGGCTATTTTTGTCTTGCTTTTACTATGGAGCACAGGATAAAAACTGTTGGTTATGAAAATTATTTTTTCCTGTGAAAGAAGTGTGTCATCTACAGTGGAAAACAAGTGTCTCCAACCATTCTCTGCTTCTTCCTGGCTTTAAAGATCCCATCTGGTGGGTAGCAGGCTGAGCGATGAACTGTGTTTGTTTTAAATACATTCTGAAAGCCCTCTGGCCGTCTGGTAAAATCAGATGAGTCACAGAGAGGTGAACGAGGCGATAATAGAGGAATGAAACTGCATCTTTCAATCCTCTCTCCGCTAGCATCACGTTGAGAGTCACCCCCCATTAACCTGAGAGATATTGCCTGGATCCTCTCTGGCCAGTACAATAGAAACAGGATCAAATAACCCTTCACACCTAAAGTAGGTGCTGCAAGCACCTCTCCTTGTCGGTATAGCGGTACATGTCAGAAAAACTACAAAAACCACCCACGCCGGTCACATTTCAGCTTCGCTTGTGCTGATACGATGACACGTCTCTGAAAATGCAGTGAATTATTAATAGGGTGGTGTACAGATTTACACTCTCGCTGGCCTTTCACTAAAGACTCTTTCAGAGGTCCGGCAGACTGTGTTGACTGGGCAGAGTGGTGGGTGAGAAGAGATATCCAGTTCCAAAGATAAAAAATTCATGAGATCAGGCTGATCTATTGCACTCTCAGGTGAGATTGCTGTGAAGAAAGGATACATCACAGAGTGGGAGATACGGTACTGCTGGAAAGTAATCAGTGAGACTTCTATTTTAAAGTGCAAGAGCCTGTGATGATGTATATGGTGCTTTATGTCCTGTGCATACTGGGAACAAAGTAACACATCAAAATAAACTTCAAACAAATACTTAAGACTACTCCAGTCAGTCACATATGCACAAAAATCTCTATACCTGATAACCATTTATTTTCGTTTGAGGTCTTATTGTAAATGCAGTTCACAAAGCTTGTACTTGGGCAACTGAGGCCTAGCTTTTGGCTACCCACACCTGCAGTTGTAAATGTGATATATGCAGAGTATTATAAGAAGCTTCAGTAAGAATGCACCTACTTTGAATGCTGATATCATGTAATATTGTCCATACACATTTTATACTCAATATTTTGGGACCAAAGTAACAGAGTAACTATTGTAAGCCATTGGATTTAGCCCTTTGTTTACTACAAACTGTATCTGAATGCATCTGAGCCCTCCTTCCTGAGGATTATGGAGGTATATCCTCCATGTGTAGCATGGAGTGCTAAAATGTTTCAGCATCAAGTTGATGCAGTCCTCAGTTAATTTGTAATTGTAGATTACATTGGAGTATGATTATTGGGTGTATGTTTGACAAGAAAATGCTATTTTCACTCTTTCTATTTTAAATTTTTTATTTAGGTTTAAATGAAATGAAATTTCGATGTGTTCAATGTCAATGTCAGACTCCTGCACCAGCCTCCAGGGCGCCCACCCCCCCTCCCTGGTGGAATTGTTACGGCACGGGACACACCTTCAGGGAGGGGGGAGTAATGTCAGTCTCTGTTCCGTGTTTTGTGTGTTTTCTTCCCCCACGTGCTCCATGTTATGTTTATGTCTTTATTTGGTCTTCCTGTTCTGTTTCCCTGATTAGGTTTATTTGTCCCAGGTGTTTCCAATGTTCATTATGTCATTGATTTCAGGTGTTCCTCATTGTGTCCCTCCTCTAGTCCTGTATTTAATGGTTCCCTGTTTTGAGTTTGTGGTCCCGTATTGTTCGTCAATGATGTGCTACGTGTGTTCCTGCCTGCTTTATGTAAGAAGATTAAAGTCTGTGTATCGCAGTTCTCCTGCGTTCTCTGTGTTCCTTGTTCCTCGCTCCAGCGCAGTAGTAGAACCGTGACAGAATACCGGACCAAAACAGTAAGCGGCGCCCCTTCTCCTCATGTTTGTTTTTCGTTTTGAAAGTCTTTTGTTTTCCTGTTTGTTTCCCCCCGAGATCATGGAAATCGGCGCTCGTTTCTCCGCCTTAGCCCGCCGAGATCTCCCCTTCTTCGAGTATGCCTGGGAATTCTGCGGGCTCGGCGACGGCATTGGATGACGCCACCATCAATTCTCTGTTCTGGCTCGGGGCCAACTATCATCGCCCCATGGACGAGTCCCAGACACCAAGGGACTATGCTGGAGGGAAGGGATCTACCGGTGTCTGGGGAGTGTCCGGGCCCGAGCCAGAACCAGCCCGCCGTCAAGCCCACCGGCCGCGGCTCTCTC